GTATAGTGATACTTTTAATTCAGTCACACTCACAGTCCACAAAACACAGGTGACACGTATTACTTGGAATTGGCTATTTGAATTTTACTGAGAGCAAAATTGGAAACGTCCTTTTTTTTTTTTTTTTTTTTTTTTTTTTCTTTCTGTGAATGAAACTGTCAGCATGGAGAAGAAAGAAGGAAAAAAAAATCCACATTTTGGCTGAGCGCTAAAAGAGTCCCCATTTTGCTGCAGTGCAAATATATCAGGCACAATGGAGGGGCAAAAGGTCCCCCATGCAAGTGAGCATCTGCCCACAGCTGGAGTGTTTCAACGAACATGAGAAAATTTAGTTTTTACAGACTTGTGTATACTGTATGCAAGATACAACTCTCACTAAAAGAAAGATGCAACATTTTAAAAACTGGAAGAACATTTCAATCTGACTGATGCTAATTCTCCCCTTAGATAAGCTGTATTTAGCAAAAGCAATATTGCGTAAATAATTGAAAACGGCCGGGCGTTGGTGGCTAATTCCAGGACTGGCTCCAAAGAAATACAGAGAAACCCTGTCTTTAAAAAAAAAATGAAATGAAAAAATGGTAAAAATATATACTGAACAAAAAGAATAAAAACGGAGATATTCTAAAATGCCAAAAATAGTAGAGAAAGATAAATCTGAAAGGCAGAAGCAAAACCCAAAGTGTGAGGGATGGTGGACTGGGGGAGAAGAGAGGAAGAGTGGAAATGTGGCCATACCCACCTCTCACTCTTGAGTGCTGAGGGCTGGGGATCCTTGTTGAGGGCAGTGTGAATCCCAGGTGCTGGCAGGAAGCATCACAGGTGCAAGGCATCTTGGGAAGGCTGTCTAGCAGGACCCATGGCTAAATAAGGGACAGGGTAAGAGGACTGTTGCTCCCAGTGGACGTGGACCAGGTCGTCACCCGTGCTGCCAGTGGCCTTGTTGACTGTGTGTCGTTCTGATGCACTCCAAGGACACCTTCACTCTCCTGATACAATGTGAATCTCATGGCGATTGACTAAGCCAACTAAACAGGAGTTCGGCGGTCCGTGTCTGAAGATGTGCATTTTCCCAAGTTGAACCATGTCAGACAGGAAACTTTATAATCTGGGAAATCATTAAAACTTTTCAGGCAGATGTGGAAATTATCACATCTGATGGCAGGGATTTCTCCTTTGCCTTGTTGATTTCTCCAGTGATCCATTGTTCTTTCAAAATTGTATTTTTCTTTCTTTCTTTTTTTTTTTTTTTTGTAACTAAAACTTTAATCCCAAGGATTCTCACAAACATATTACAAATGACAGCATGAAAAAGAAATCTTGCACAGTAACTCAAAGGTTCAGCTCTACAATGTACCCTTACACTGATAGGACACTGGTAACTTAAAGTCTTCCATTTCCAAATAAAGAATGTTGCAGCTATGCGTCCATATATAGCAATCAGTAAGGAACCTCTGAAAGCCTTCAGGCTGCAGTTCCCATCCTTTATCTGTTAGCTGGTGTTCACTAACAGCTTTTAAAGACTGCCTATCATTTTACCCACAGCTCCACACTATATCCCAGCTACTAGACAAACTAGAGCTTTATTCCATTTCTACCAGTGGTTTCTGTATCATTAGCACATCACACTTTAACTGGGCAGGATCTAGGTTTATTTCAGTCTATGAAAAACTAAAGTTCAAAGCAAATTTGAACAGCTAAAACATCTTAAAAACGCACCAAGATTATGAAGTCTCAAACAAAACTTGAATTTCCTGTACATACTCCTGTCAAATGAAGTTATTTCCTGTACACCACTTCTTTAGCAAGCTGGTCTTCTATTTCCTTTCATTTGACCTAGATCGGCTACGAGACCTAGAGAAAGACCAAGATGGCTTGTGGTTTTTCTCCCGAGACAGAGACCTTTCTCTTCTCCCATCTCTAGAAAGTGACCTGCTCCGCTTCGAGAGAAGCTTCTCCTTCTTGGAGATCTTCGCCGAGGTGGAGGACTCCTCCTTCGATAATCATCTCGAGGGCGACGGCCCCAAGAGGGCGGCTGGCCACGATTGCGACTTCTTTTTTCACCATTCGACAGTTCCACTCTCACACGACAGCCACATAGTGTTCTTCCATCCAGCTCTCGGACAGCATCAGCTGCATCTCGGGGATCCTCATATTCAACAAAAGTAAAGCCAGGAGGGTTCCGAGCAACCCACACACTTCAAAGTGGTCCATAATAGCCAAAAGCCCGTTCTAGTTCAGTCTTGTTCCCATTGTTTCCAAGATTACCTACATACACCTTACAATCTAGTGGACAGGAATCACGATGCATTTCGAGATCCTGGGTTCAAACACCGAGGTTCAAACCCCAACACTCCGTCAGGCCCACCCGCGCACTTCGGGATCTGCTTTAGCAGATGCTCTCCGTTCCCTGGCGTCCAGGAAATGGCGGTCAAAATTGTATTTGTCAACCATCCAATGTTCGTTTAATTTCTCTTGCTACTTTTTTCTAGTTATTACCATATGTGATAAATTACAAGTAATAATACTGGGTCTTTTATATTTCTTTCATCTCTCTCTCTCTCTCTCTCTCTCTCTCTCTCTCTCTCTCTCCCCCTTCCCCCCACGGCAGGATTTCTTTTTTTATTTTTTATACATTTTACATACCACCCACATTTCCCCCATCTCCCTTCCTCACACCCCACCTCCCGGAAACCACCCCTTCTGCTCCTCAGAAATGGTAAGGCCTCCCATGGGGAGTCAACATAGCCTGGTTCATTTAGTTGAGGCAGGACAATCCTCCCCATCAAAGTTGAGCAAAGATCTCTATAGAGGAAGCCCTTACTGGCCCAGGGAAACCTGATGCTAGGGACATTCTAAGAATCCACAAGGATGACCCCAGCTAAGATCCCTAACATTAGTGACAGGGTGCCTGAACTGGCCTTCCCCAGAAATCAGATTGGTGACTACCCTAATTGTCATCATAGAACCTTCATCCAGTAGTTGATGGAAGCAGATGCAGAGATCCACATCCAGGTATCAGGCCGAGCATGAAACAAACGGATATCAGGTTTTATTTTTCATTTTGACACTTCTAGTGCAATTTGGCCTTCTATTAAAGCACATGAATTAATTTGGCAACATATTGTTACAAGGTCAAAATACAACACCTCAATATACATATCAGATATGCCCACCAGATGAGCCCTACACAGCAGGAAATACAAATCTTAGACCTCTTCAGATTTTTTCATTTTTTTTAAATAGTTTCTTTTTTTTTGTACTGTGTAGACAGTGTTCTGCCTGCACACCAGAAGAAGGCACCAGATCTCATTATAGATGGATAGATGGTTGCGTGCCACCATGTGGTGGCTGGGAATTAAACTCACAACCTCTGGAAGAACAGTCACTGCCTTTAACCTCTGAGCCATCTCTCCAACCCCTCATTGATCTTTTCAATTTTGTATTTTGAGTTCAGTCTGCTCATTTCGGTAGACAAGTCATTGGCTGGAATTGTTTGATCCTCTATCAGCTGTATGGGCTAGCAAATTTTGTCCCATTCTGGGATCTAGCTCTTCACTGGATTTACACTCTTTTGGTGTAAAGAAGTGTTTTAATTATATGAGATCCCATTGGTCAACTTCTGTCATTGCTTCTTGAGGGACTGGAGTCCTATTCAGAAAGCATTTCCTGTATCTATAACTTGAAATGCTTTCCTTATTTTTCCTCTGATGTTTTCAGAATGTGGAGTTCTGTACCAAGATTTAAAATCTAATTGGAGACAACTTTTGTTTAGCCTGAGAGATAAGGATGTAGTTTTATTTCTCTACCCATGGGTTTTCTGCAATGTGCACTTTTTGGTGTGTTTTTGAATCAGGCGATTGTTCCTGTCTATTCTGTTGACATATTGAATGGACAGTCCCTATGTTTCTATAGTATGATTTGAAGGCAGGTATGGTCATACTACCAGAATTAATTTTTAACCCAGATTTTTTTGTTTGCGTTTTGTATGAATTAACTCACTCAATATAATATTTTCAAGTTCTACTCATCTGAAACTTTCAAGTTTGTTTGTTTGCTTGTTTGTTTACAGCTGAGTATAACTCTATTGTATATGTACAACATTTTCATTATCCAGTCATCATTTCAAGGACATATAGTTTGCTTCTGTTTTCTACGTGCTTTGAATACAGACACTGTGAACATGGTTGATCAAATTGATGTAATTCTATTTCAGTTAAAAATATTAGAAAGGACCAAATGGTCAGCCCTGAATACATATATACAAGTAACATTATACAGACTGATCAGGTAGTATTTGTGTATTTAGGGACACACACACACACACACACACACACACACACACAGATGTAACAAGGATTAATAGGCCATGAATTTTACACCTAGAAATGAGAGGCATATGCAGGAGGATTTGAGAGAGTGGAAACTGGAAGGGGAAATGTGGAATTATATCATAATTTCAAAATTAAAAAAAGATTTAAAAACTAACTAAAATAATAAAAATATGACTGACTCAAAGACAGCTATTGTACAAGGACATCCATTAAATACCTGTCAGTTATACCACAAAAGCATCTCGCCTACAGCTGTATTTGAGGTAGGTAACAGCTAATATAGGAACATTTATTTGATCAATCGTTAAAAGACGTTCCTTAGGACAGAACACTCCACAAAAAACATAACCCAAGTTCCAAATAGCATTTTAAAATTTTGATTAGAAGTATCTTTATAATGAAAAAGCCAGAAGTAGAATATTGTTCAAAATACTTAAAATACATTCATTTTGTCCAAAGGGTAGTGGAGAGTAAATCTTGAAGTTACTAAAATTATGTACACACAGCTGTATTCAAGAAAAATGTTAACTACATGAATTTTAATAGAGAACAGAAGGTTAAGTTATAATAAGGCCATATCAGGTATTCAGGATTTACATTCAAATTCTTTGTCCCATGGAAATCATTAAGACAGTTTTCCAATGATGAGAAAGTGTGGGTTTGAGCTCAGTCATGGAGTGCTCTTTGAAAGCAGGTCATCCTCCTAACAGAAAAGGAAGAAGTGAATTGCAAAGTATATTTGTTATTCTTCATCAGTAAAAAAGGACAGATGGTTGGGTAGCATGTTACGAAAATTGCATTAATTCCCTCCAAGTCTGGAATTTTTGTTTGTACATAAAAACCAAAAAGGGTGATGAAGTTGTTCAACCAATAGAAGAACACAAAACAGCTCACCAGCAACAAGATGCTGTGAGTGGCTCTGCGTTCAGGAGATGGCTGGCAGGAGAGGCTTGTGCTGTGGAGATGCTGGGCTCTTTTTCGGTGTCTGTAGAGGAGAATCACCATGTACAGGCTGGTCCATATCATGATGGCCACATATAATAAATCACAAATGAATATGATTCTAAAAAATGACCCCGGGTTTTGGTTTCCAAAGTTCTTGTTTTGACAGTAAGGATCCAAATATCCATTGCCAAAAAGAGTAGCATTGGTTTTGGCTATTACCATTGGAATCATATATGCATAGATGAGTATGTTAATGACCCAGGAGCAAAGTAAGGATGAAAAAGTCCACTTAGAGAGCTTAGCCTTAAGCCATGCCCACTTAGAATTACTGGGAGTGATGGTGATGACTTGAAATGTGCTCAGAACAGAGGTGGTACTGATGGACATACCCCGGGCGACTCTGACTATAAATAAAACTGCCATGCAGCCAGCATCGTCCAGAAATCTGGTTACTCCAAAGGATGACATGATGTGTGAGATCAACGTGAATATGATCATCAGGACATTAACTATTGCCAGGTGCATGAAAACAGAATCGATCAGCTTCTTAAAACGAGGCTTAAAGAGCAGAGTGTAAGCATATAAAATAAACAGTAATGAGTTCCCTGTGACACCAACACATAATGGAGATATGAGGAAGACCCCCAAGATGGTGTTACTTGGAAGCATGATAATGTGTGTCAGGTTTGTTAGTCCTAGAGCGACAGCCAAAAGGACTGTATATAAAACTACATTTGGAATGGCATTTGTGGGAAAATATAATGATTGACAGCTCAGGAGCAGAACTGACAAGTGAGGGATGTCCAATTCCTATCTTTTGGCAGGGCTTCTTTGTGACTCCAGGCTGTTCTGGAACTTGTTCTGTAGACTGGGCTGGTCTCAAACTCACAGAGATCCACCTACCTGTGCCTCCTGAGTGCTGAGATTAGAGATGTGTGCCATCAGCCCCCGAAGAAATGTCCAACTACTCCTTTCAATGTTAGGTTCAGAGATGACGTCTTAGCAACGGCATCTTAGACCATCTTAGAGGGTAGAATAAAATGTTGGAGAGCAGGGTCAAATCCCAAACACTCTGAGTTCATGTCAGGCAGAAGGATACGCTGATCTATGTGAAAGCCAAATTTGCACGTTATAAGGCCTGTAATAAAAGTTTTTTATTTTATGTGTGTGGGTGCTTTGCCTGCATTTCTGTGTACTATACACATGCTTGGGAATCCAACCCTGGCACTCTGGAAGAGCAGCCAATGGTCTTTAACAGTTGAACCATCCCTCCAGTCCCCAGGAATTTATATTCATCAGCTGATATTTTTGTTTAAGCCAGGTATCAATGTAATCATGTTTACAACAACATTTGTTTCTTACACATAGATACGAATGTGTGCAGTGAAGGTCGGTGTTTTGGATGCACGTATGTTTCTTCTGTTGGTTAGTGTTGACTAAATCCTTGGACTTTTCATGTGGGGTGCATCATCTCCAGTTTCACCTTACAGGTTAACCAGCAGTGTTCCGTGGGATGTCACTGCCTTTAGCTGATATGTGGAAAGCAAAGGCAAGGGTAAGGCTACAAATCCCACAGCGCTGAGCACATCCTCACCAAAATGTGTTTTCTGTGACATTTGGTGGTCAAATCAATCAGGCAGATTCTGATTGATAAGCCCCCTGTCTCAGAGACTTATATGTTTGGGTATTGCAACAGAATTCTATTTCCATTCGGTGATTTTTTTTTCTGCATTCCTATTGCAGAAGCAAAGATCTCACGTCCACAGTTACACAGAGAGAATGGCACAGATACGATACTCCCGAAATTTGACCCCATTATTGTTATACACGTCATGTTCAGTGGATTTGGAGGGGTACTCTATGTTAATTTTAGACCCATTCCTCCACTGACCTAACTATTTCTATCCCCTTAAATACAGCCCTTTCTTCTTTGGTGGACACGTATGTACTCCTCAACAGTCTCTTTGATTCTCACAAGGTCTTTCAGACTTTTCCCAATGTGCGGATCTGAATTTTCTCCACGCACCACAAATCTCCGTCTTGACACAAGCCCCTAGGACAGTGAAGATATTCTAGTGGGAGTAGATGGCTTAAATAATGCCATCGCCTGGGATATTGTCCTCCCATACTCTCAGTCACTTCTCACGTCAATGTTTCAGTTTGTTTCCTGCCTGTCACTATTTGCCATCATTATCTTTTATATAGGTAATCAGCACCCACCATCCTTAAGCTTTGAAAACTCATCTCATCTCTCCTGTGCCTTAGGGCCCTTTCAGACCCACATTTATTTCCCTGGGATCACTCACATCTCCCCAGGTTTTGCCCTGGATTGGTAGTCTTCCTCCTCACCACATACCTGAGATTTGTTTTTACTCATCTTTGCTCCTTGCTCTGTATCTGCTCTAAATGCCCTAACTTGTCGTTCTTTTGTGACTCAGCACAGTCCTGAAGATCCCCTCCACTAACCCTGTTGTTAGTGTGTTGTCCTGCTAAGAATAAGAGGTCTGGGATAAAATGCCAGACTGTCATGTGAACCCAGATAAGACAGACTCACTCTATTGCTTGCACAGGAAAATGCTATTGATGGAAAATGGAATCACAAAAGAGTAGCATGCACTATTTTTGATATTCAATAAATGAAAATTTCTGGCCTGTACTGGTACATGGCTTTAATCCCAGCACTTGGGATCCAGAGGCAGGTGGATCTCTGTGAGTTCAAGGTCAGCCCTGACTACAAAGCTAGTTTCTGGACATCCAGAGAAATACAGAGAAACAAACCCTGCTTCGAAACAAAACAAAACAAAAGCAAAGTGAAAAATGGAAAAAAAAAAACAAGCAAAAGAAAATGAAATTTGAATACTAAAGAAGCGATTAAAAAAAAAAAAAAAACCAAGGGCAACTGCTATCAATAAGTAAAAACATGTGAATTTGAAATAAGTATTATTACACTTAATTGCATACACCTGTTAAATCCTCAAAAATAAAGAAAAATTACAATAAAAACTTAAACCACAACATAGATGCAGATGTAATAAAAAAACAGAGCAGTAACCTATCCAGTTGTGTAAAAATGTGTATAAGTAATGGGAAAGTATAGTGATACTTTTAATTCAGTCACACTCACAGTCCACAAAACACAGGTGACACGTATTACTTGGAACTGGCTATTTGAATTTTACTGAGAGCAAAATTGCAAACGTCCTTTTTTTTTTTTTTTTTTTTTTTTTCTTTCTGTGAATGAAACTGTCAGCATGGAGAAGAAAGAAGGAAAAAAATCCACATTTTGGCTGAGCGCTAAAAGAGTCCCCATTTTGCTGCAGTGCAAATATATCAGGCACAATGGAGGGGCAAAAGGTCCCCCATGCAAGTGAGCATCTGCCCACAGCTGGAGTGTTTCAACGAACATGAGAAAATTTAGTTTTTACAGACTTGTGTATACTGTATGCAAGATACAACTCTCACTAAAAGAAAGATGCAACATTTTAAAAACTGGAAGAACATTTCAATCTGACTGATGCCAATTCTCCCCTTAGATAAGCTGTATTTAGCAAAAGCAATATTGCGTAAATAATTGAAAACGGCCGGGCGTTGGTGGCTAATTCCAGGACTGGCTCCAAAGAAATACAGAGAAACCCTGTCTTTTAAAAAAAATGAAATGAAAAAATGGTAAAAATATATACTGAACAAAAAGAATAAAAACGGAGATATTCTAAAATGCCAAAAATAGTAGAGAAAGATAAATCTGAAAGGCAGAAGCAAAACCCAAAGTGTGAGGGATGGTGGACTGGGGGAGAAGAGAGGAAGAGTGGAAATGTGGCCATACCCACCTCTCACTCTTGAGTGCTGAGGGCTGGGGATCCTTGTTGAGGGCAGTGTGAATCCCAGGTGCTGGCAGGAAGCATCACAGGTGCAAGGCATCTTGGGAAGGCTGTCTAGCAGGACCCATGGCTAAATAAGGGACAGGGTAAGAGGACTGTTGCTCCCAGTGGACGTGGACCAGGTCGTCACCCGTGCTGCCAGTGGCCTTGTTGACTGTGTGTCGTTCTGATGCACTCCAAGGACACCTTCACTCTCCTGATACAATGTGAATCTCATGGCGATTGACTAAGCCAACTAAACAGGAGTTCGGCGGTCCGTGTCTGAAGATGTGCATTTTCCCAAGTTGAACCATGTCAGACAGGAAACTTTATAATCTGGGAAATCATTAAAAGTTTTCAGGCAGATGTGGAAATTATCACATCTGATGGCAGGGATTTCTCCTTTGCCTTGTTGATTTCTCCAGTGATCCATTGTTCTTTCAAAATTGTATTTGTCAACCATCCAATCTTCGTTTAATTTCTCTTGCTACTTTTTTCCAGTTATTAGCATATGTGATAAATTACACGTAATTATTCTGGTCCTTCCTTCCCTCCTTCCTTCCTTCTTTCTTTCTCTTTGTTCTTTTCCCCAAGACACGTTTTCTTTTATATAAATGTTACATACCACCCACAATTCCTCCCCTCTTTCTTCCTCACCCCCCACATTCCCCCAGCCCACCCCATCCACTCCTCTGAAAGGGTAAGCTCTCCCATGGGAAGTCAACAAAGACTGGTACATTCATTTGAGGCAGGATCTTCCCACCCCATCAAGGTAGAGCAAGGATCTCTACAGAGGAAGCCATTATCTACCTAGGGAAACCTGATATTAGGGACATTCCCAGGAATCCACAAGGATCACCCCACATAAGACCCCTAAGAATAGTGGAGAGGGTGCCTGAACTGGCCTTCCCCTGTAATCAGACTGGTGACTATCCTAATTGTCATCATAGTACCTTCATTCATTAGGTGATGGAAGCAGATGCAGAGATCCATATCCAAGCACTAGGCCGAGCATGAAACAAAGCATATGAGGCTTTCTTTTTTCATTACAGTACTTCTAGTATGATTTAGCCTTCTCTCTCCCAAGTGTAGAGAACAGCTTGCCCATGAGGGTCCAAACCAGCTCTCTTGTTGCAGTGTCCAGTGAGAGGCAAGGCCAGTTTTCCCAGGGCCAGTGAGAGGCGGGGCCAGCTCAGCTTGGCCCTCTGGTTTCATCACCCATGGTACCTATGACCCCCTGAGGAGACATGAGCCTCAGACATCAACACAGACTCAGACCCAGACATGGCCCTCAGCAGCAGCTTGGGCCAGATGACCTCCTGATTCCAGGTGGAAACACTGGCCACTCAGATCAGGATGGCCTGGTTGAGGCATGGCCCCTGAACACCAACAAGGCCACAGGTTCTGGCCCCAATCCCGGGCTTCTGTGTGACCTCTGGTGGCAACACAGACTTCAGGCTTCAACACAGACTCTGGTGTGATAGGACCACAGACCCAGACATGCCCTTGGCAGCAGCCTGGGCCTGGACAAAACCATGCCCCTGGGTGGCAGCACAGGCCATCCATACCAGTGTGGCTCTAATGGTGGCACAGCCCTCAGATGACAAGGCCATAGATTTCAGCCCTGACTGTTGACTTCTGGGTGGCCTTTGGTGACAACATGGGCCACAGATGTTAACACAGACCCTCGATGCTCTAGGGCCACAGACCCAGATGTGGCCCTTAGCAGCAGCTTGGGCCTAGACAACACTATGGCCCCAGGAGCAGATCAATTTGGTTCTGGTGGTGGCCCTTGAACACTTATATAGCCAC